CCTATTGCAATAAAACGGCAATTTCATACTTTAACCCCTAATATTTTAAATAATCAGGAGGCAGTAGAGCGTTTGATTAGTGTAATTTTATATACCTTTTAAACAATTTTTTGCCAAATGGTTATGCTTTTGTGTCTGTTATGTAACATTTTGAGATATTATTTGATAAAATAATTTTAATTTTAATAATTTCACAAATATAGAAACATTATTCTGTTCAGGAACACAATAACAAGTTTAACGAGATTCTTTTAATTAGTTGTGCAGGACTATAATAAAATTTCTAAATTCAGTAGCAAGTACCATAAACAATAGAATTTTTCATAGATTTCTCATAGATGGCGCTACGGCTAAAAACGTCGTTCAAAAACAAATTCAAAGATCCGACAACAAGCACATAAAAAAACTTGTGAGGTCCGCTGGTTCGTTCCGTGGCTTAGTTGGCATAGCGTCTGGCATGGTTTGCTAAAACTCGTCGGTTCGTATGCGGCCGGATCGAAGGAATTATTTCTAAGTGTTCTCTTTTTTTAATAATCTTTATGTTAATCTTTGTATTAATAATTATAATACAATTTTGGTTAAAAGTAAAAAGAGCGCCTTTGGGGTATGGTTTATGAAATTATAATTGACAAATAAACTACAGGAGTAGAAAAAACAGTTTTTTTGCTTGTTGGTGTGTAAATTCCACAGGTCTACATTTTTTTTGTTATGTTTATGTATAGTCAAATATTAAGTGAATTTAGTGATAATGGTACATTAACATCTCGATTGTGAACTGACAACTGGTACTATCTCAATTTTGACAACTAAAAAATGTTTGTATTACACATACACTACGTATTTTTGTTTAATAAACCAGATGCTATATAAATGACGCAAACAATTTTTTTCTTCACCTGTAAAGTCAATGTAAAGTTGTCAAAAAATTGAGATAGTAACGGTTGCCAGTTCACTGTCGTATTCTATATATTAGTAACCAATTAGAAGTCCGAAATAACATTTCGATGCCTTACCTTCGCAAACTCGTATTTTATAAAGAGCGATTATTTAGGAAATAGCAAAACTTTCTATTTACTTACAATTTCTTATCAAGGGTGTTAATTTGGATGCATTACTTTAAGAATAGGTAAAAGAGTTAGAGTGTGAATATGAAGGAAATGTGATGTAAAATCAGCCTGCAAAATTTGTATATAAAATCAATTATTTGCATTTCAGTAACTTTGTGCTTTAAGATACGAGCTTGAGAAAGTAATAGAAGATTTAGCCGGAATAACGTATGCTTGAATTTTCATAATACCGAAAACTGATTTATAATGAAACCGTTATTATTTCAGAATATTTTAGATACCTATCGCAAAGAAAAGATGAGAAAATCCAAGTAAATTATTTCAGGTGAATATAATTTCGGTTTTGTGATAGGTAAATCTTAATTTATAATTATAATTTGCAGCAGTATTGCATTAGGTTTCTCTACATTGATAGTGGTATAAACATTTGTACACATTGATAGTGGTATAAACATTTTCCATTCAGGTGTGAATTTTTATTTCCTGATTTTTATTTCACCTTCATGCCATACTAAGTGTGCCATATAGCATTTTACCAAGGTATCTCACTATATCCACATTATCGCAAAACACTAAAGGGCCAAGAATCATACACGCTTTTAGAAGGAGTCATTGTCTGGCACTGAAAGCATAAGATTTTAACTGCCTGTAAAACTCTTACTATGTAGGGGTGAAGAGCAAACTTATTTAAATAGATATGTTTAGGTGTATAGCATCTCACACAGAACTGCAATAAAATACCTACTTATATAGCACTTAATCCGTCATATGTCCATATCTAATCATTAAAGACACACAGTGTCCTAGAGCCATACAGGGTCTCTAACGTGCAGCTGTATTTTAATTATTTTTCAATAAAAAAAAATATTGTAAATGAATGAATTCTTTTATCAAAATTGTTAAGGACATCGTATGTTTCTAGAACACATAGGTAAAATCAACAGTGGTTTAATTCAATGAAGTCAATTAGTTTGTCATTATTGATTATAAAGATGTTATTTTCCATTTTTTGTACCAGTTTCACTATTATTATATCATATATTATGTTTACTATAAGGTTACATAGTAAGCACTAAATATTATAATATTAAAAGTAACACTTTAAGGATATCTTAGGCACCTAAAATTCAGGAATAGATGTCTATGGCTGAAATTTAGGTGCCTAACTGAACTTTTAAATTTTTTACATTTATGTTTTAGAAAACATAAAAATTAAAAATTACAAAGTTCTCAGATTTGATAACATGGGAAAATCTTTTTTTGCTAACATATTATGATCTTTAATGAAAATTGTCAATAACTGTAATTGGAATTTAATTTGTGTTCTTTGTTAAAAGGATGGAGGAAGGAAGGAAACGACTGTTTATATTTTTGTCCTAGTGTTTGGGGAAAAGGTACCTAACTAACAACTGGAAGTGTATATAAGATTCAAATTAGAGCAAAATACTGTTCCGTAAACTTTAAAGACAAGATTCATTTACGCAAAGACAGTTTACTGTCAGAGACATAAGCTGAATCAAATTTAGTGAGGTGAAAACATTTAAAATTCAATCCATTGCTCTTAAGAATTTGTAAACATTCTTGTTACTTATTACTTTTTAAAATCAGCTGTATCGGTACCAAAGCTTCGGCCCACCTAGATTTCAATATAGGTACTTATTCTTTGTACTTATAACATTCCCTTTCCACGGTGACATTGGCCTTCCCAAACACAATCAATACAAGAAACTTAACATAATTTTACGGTGAAAACTTCAGCAATACTCACATTTTATGACAGGCAATTCGAAGTAAGCCACCCTAGGAGTACGGGGCTACGCGGGGAATTTATTATATGAGTGAATTATACTAAAAAGTGGTTAAAAACACTACTAAAATTGCCGACGAGACTCCCTACACGCCGCCCATTTTGTTTCTGTCAAAATTTTTTGTTGCCATTGTGGAAAATCGAGAAAATCGGACGGCCTAGGACGCGTTTAATTCGCAAGTTCATGTAACTTGCTTGTGTAGTAAGCACTGGTTATGGTTGCATACCATTTAATAACATGTTTTATGTTCATTTATTTGATTAATAATCATGGTAAAATAAAAGATATTTCATTTTAGATGTTTTATCACATAATATAGTAGAACATCGAGTATGTATGTACTTATGCTCGATGTGAAAAACTAACTGTTGACGCCATCTATGATGCATTGAGGAAATTGCTTTCCCGCACACCTCAAAACATCACAAACTTTTGTGTACAGTGGTAATTCGAAGTCTAAATGGTGTAGTTCACATTTACAAACACAGATGACGCTACATACTTGATGCTAACCATAGATTTGGTATATAGGTGCAAGCCTATATTCGTATTATTAGTGTATACTAAGGGTCGTATTCCAGAAATCTACTCAGTTGCAGTGAGTATTGAAAATCATACACAAGTCCTTGCCATTAGGGTCGTATTTCCAGTGCTTGTGTTTCCATTGCAATCCTGACTTGAGCATTGAGTACGAGTTCTGGAATACGACCCTAAATTTGTGATGCTAGCCATGGACAAAGAACTCAAGAGGTCTGCTTATCGCGATACACGACAACGTAATAGAGTATTTAGTACCTACCTAACCCAGCTACCTTGCCCAACGCATTACAATACAAAGGGGGAACGCTGCCAGCATCTTGGGCACCGTGCCGTATGGACCCAATTTTATTCATATAATTTAAAAATCCTAGTTTTACAGTCTAGTATTTAAGCTTTTATTGTCTTTTTTACTTTACCTGTATATTATCTTAATTAAATAATATATGTAACCTATTGGTACACCAGATGCCGCGACGATTACCAATTAATAGCAAGTTTTGCAACTAATTTATTTTATATTGACGATCTGATCTGCAATTTAAAGCTACTCTAATTTCTTATGATAACAAACAAACCAAGTCGATGGCGCTTATTTCACAACTTTTGTGGATAGTGCCGGCTACTCTTTTATTTTGTTTAGGATAAATTAGTTTGTAGCTCATAATGCCATCTATTGACACGTATGTTTGTCAAAGTTCAGAAAATAATTTTATTTTAGAGCTCATCACAGTATTTGGGGAGAAAAAAACCGACTATTTCTTAATAAGGAGGAATTGCTATTGATCAATGCCATGTAGTATATAAAACGGAATTTTGACCTTATTCAGATTTACAATCTGTAGTAGGTAAGAAGATTAGCAGTCCTTTTGTGTTATTGGTTCATGATGCTAACTACTTCCGGTTAACACATTCTGCTTGTCTCTTTTCTTCACAGAGAATTAAAGAAGTACCTAAAGATAGGTGTATTCATAATAATATTATTACTTAAATATGGAACCAATATTTTGTTTCCTGCCTTGTTAGTAAAAATATCAAGAGCCGGGATAATGGAACTGTAATCACACGGATATCAATGGATTTAATTGACCCGGTATGATTATATCAAGATACGTTTTTACAAAATTATTTCTTCCTGAGACCCAATTCTTTCCTACAAGGAGGAGATTCTACCGAAACCATCGAGTAGTGGAATCGTTCCAATCAATTCCTGAAAGTTTCATAAAAATATTCTAAAAAAGGTCTTTGTGTAGGCAGGAGGTTTAAGTTAGTAATACCTAATTGAAGCTGTAAAGTTACCAAGATTCTTTATGATAGAAATTCAGTTATTTGGTAGTTAGAGGAGACTACATTTTGTTTTTAATAAATTAATAAAACATCAGAACCTCGCTTCATTATCTTCATTATATCAGCCGAATGACGACCACTACTGGACATTAGTTCGTGCGTCAGGAGGAGGAAGGCCTGTTCCTGTCAGAGACATGTGGTATTTTGAGAATTTGGCAATCTGAGAATCTGGCATTTTGCTAAATCTGCGAATCTGGCATTCTGCGAATCTGGCGTTCTGCTAATCTGATATTCTGTCCGTTTATCATTTTGCGTTTCTGGTATAAAGCGTCAATACGCGAATTACGTATAACGAAGTTATGGTGAAGTGTTTCGTTTTTTTTTTAAATTTTAGGGTACTGAACACTAAAAAAAAACCAAGCAATTACATATACTAGATCCGAATTTGAGTATTTAATTTAAGCAATTAATTTACATTTCAGACAGATTATTTAAGGTTTATTACGGTCCGTTTGAATCTTCATGGAGAAATTGGATATTGGAAAAATGTACAACTTGGCCACATCGTAGCGACGGCCGCAAAGAGCATCGTACTGCTCATAGGCAAGTTTAGTCGCCAAGAATGATATCACGAACAGACAGATAAGAAACAAAGCACAGGCAGTCGGGCAGAGAATTGCGCTAAGCTTGTGTGGAGTCGTGGGCACTTCGGATCCCAGTTCGGAATCCGTCATCGGACGCTCCGCTTCTTTATTGGTCATAACTGTGGAAATTAACAATATTGTTCGTACTTAGACATACACTACAAAAACGATTCAGCAAGCCCATTAGCTGAAGGACACAACCGACTTTTATTCTAATATTAAGTGATGGGACGAACATAACAGTTGGCCTGTCCATAACAGTTGCAGTCCCACTCAGAGCTTTAAATCGCAAAGATCTGAGGGGCACTACCACTGCGCCCGTCACGTCACGTAATTTCACCGGCACCCCTAACCCTTCGAAACCGGAACACAGCAATGTGACATTACTGAACTCTTTCATAGGGAGCTCTGCTGCTACTAAATTTATTAACAATGCTTTCACACTTGTCACCAACGAGGTGATGTTCTAGGTTTAACTTTAAAGTAGACTTTTGACAATTGTAGTAATTGGACTCATACTTATTAGATAACGATAATTTAAAGAATTTAAAAATGTTACTTAATCGTGTACGAATAGATATTTCTACATTTCTACATTGCCGTTGATGTTACTAATTAAAATGAAAACGGATTTGTGGGAAGCTATAACTACCAAGCAGCCAAAAGAAATCAAAACAAGATTCTGTTCATTCAGTCACGAGCGGCGAGTTAATAAAAACCATAATTATCGACACTTCGCTAAAGAAATGGCATAAAATGAGTTCTATAAAAAAATGTATATATGTAGGTATATAGTAGTCAGCCGGCCCGGAATGTTGGATTGTTCGAAAAAACAAATAAATTAAATAAGTAATTTAGGTTTTATGACTTTCGTGGTTATTCACTAAATGATTATCACTAATTTCAGGTTTCTTACCACGGCATGACTTCTTTTTATTTTCCCGATATTTCGGAACGGTTGCACGCTCCATGGTCACGGGTTGACTGGACGGCGGCCGATGACAGCTTTAAGAGCAGACATATCTGTCTACCCTCCTGCGATGTCGACGACTACCTTCATCACGATTTGATGTGGCGTTACCATTGTTACTCACTTTTTTCACACAAACCACACTCACTGTATCCACACGCGAAACTGAACTCGAGATGTTTTTGTTTTTATTACTGCACGCACTAAGGACCGGATTTCATGCACTGGACAGCTTAAAACTATCATCACGGTTAAATGTTTTGTACTTCGTAACCTCGATGTCTTCTCGTACCAACTGTGGTATGTAGTGACGTTCTGTCGAGAATATCTGGGGGCTATGCAACTCGATCCACTGGTTAGTGTCAGTCTGTGTGAGATGGTGTGCTATAGCCGACTTCTGTGCATCATTGTTTTTTACTGCTCGGAGGTGTTCCTTCATACGATCGACAATTGTTCGTTTGTCTGACCGATATACGAGCTCCCACAACTGCAGTTCAATTTATAGACACCCGGTGCTTGTAAAGGAAGGTGGTCTTTTGGTGAACGTAACATTTTTCCTATTTTGGTTAAGGGGGTGAAAACAGTTTTTATGGAAAACTTCTTTAGCAACCTGACTATTTTATCTGTCACCCCTTGCACTTAGAGCAGAAAAACTGGTAGTCTTTGTACGTCAATTGGCTTCTTCCTTTTGTATATTGGTTTACATGTTTTTATTTCGTATCCATTCTGTCGCAAAATCGTCTTAACGTGCTCCTGTTCCTGTAGTAGGAGGTGTGCATCACAAGGATCATAAGCTCTATTGGTTAATGACCTGACGACTGAATGTAGGTGTTTTGGATGATGATGTGAAGTGGCATGTAAATATTTGTCCGTGTGAGCTGGTTTTCTGTATACAGAATGACCGAGTGAACTGTCTTGTCGGACTTTGACCAATACATCCAAAAATGCAAGCGCGCGATTTTTCTCAATTTCACAAGTGAGCTTCATTTTGTTATGGGTGTTGTTAAGGCGTGCTAAATAATCTTGCATTTTTGGACCCCTTAACCAAAATAGGAAGAATGTTACGTTCACCAAAATACCACCTTCCTTTACAAACACCGGGTGTCTATAAATTGAACTGTAGTTGTGGGAGCTCGTATATCGGTCATACTAAACGAACAATTGTCGATCGTATGAAGAAACACCTCCGAGCAGTAAAAAACAATGATGCACAGAAGTCGGCTATAGCACAACATCTCACACAGACTGACACTAACCACTGGATCGAGTTGCATAGCCCACAGGTATTCTCGACAGAACGTCACTACATACCACGCCTGGTACAAGAAGCCATCGAGATCACGAAGTACAAAACGTTTAACCGTGATGATGGTTTTAGACTATCCAGTGCATATAATCCGGTCCATAGTGCGTGCAGTAATAAAAACAAAAACACCTCGAGTTCAGTTTCGTGTGTGTATACAGTGAGTGTGGTTTGTGTGAAAAGAGTGAGTGACAATGGTAACGCCACAACAAATCGCGATGAAGGTAGTCGTCGACAGGGCAGGAGGGTAGACAGATATGTCTGCTCTTAAAGATGTCATCTGGCGCCGTTCAGTCAACCCGTGACCACGGAGCGTGCAGCCGTTTCGAAATATCGGGAAAATAAAAAGAAGTCATACCGTGGTAAGACACCTGAAATAAGTGATAATCATTAAGTAATTTAGATTCCAAAAATAGATTTCCTATGCGTTTAGAGCGGTTACATACGGCGACTTGTAGCAGCGATGCAGTCGCTAATCGTCTACCTTTACACACGCGCGTGATTTTAAGCAGCTACAAACGCGCGATTGCATCGCTACACCTGGGATATATAGGCGATTGCATCGATGCAACAGCGCGTTTGAATCGATACCGTCGCGCGTTTGCATCGATGCAATCACCAATAAATAAAAGTCGCCGTGTGTAACCACTCTAACAGTCGCGACAACTAAAGAACTCGACAATAATTTATGTAATTGGGTTGATTTTTGAATGCTCAATTTTATTTATTTTTTATTTTTATTTATTTATTTTGTTTATTATATTAATTCTATAAAAATTGGTTGACTTTCCCTCGTCTTGTAAACTTTGTAGTCCACTATTTACGCCCTTTTTTTCCCGAAGTATCGATATTATTCATTGTCAAACTAGTATTTGTGTGACATATTAGTATTTCGGCCGTGCCAGCAGAGTAACTTCGAACTAGTTTGATAATATATTTACTATTAGGCGCCTTGTCGTCGAGTTGCGGACACCAGCCCGTTACACCAAGTACCAAGTATATTTACTATTAGTCAATAACAATGCAGTTAAATGAACGAGGCTCTTATTTATCTGTCGGGCAGAATTTTTCATCACAAAGCGATTTTACCTTCCTGTCGATAAAATTTTTTCCTATGAATGGACTTTCACTTTCAGTTGAGATGTTTAAGGTGGGTTGGTGTTGTATTTCCCGCTATGCACCGGATGAATACTTTCGAGTATATTTTATAGAATCACTGTTACAAGTGTAAGTAAACTACTTTAGTCTATCCAAGTGCTTCAAACATATTTAATAGAAAATATTGCGGGATTTGATCAAGTTTGGTGTAGATATGGCTTCTTTTTAATTTGATTTATCTGACAATTTGACAATTTTAGTCATGTCAAATTTTATAGATAAAAAAGTGAAGGTGTTTTAATTATTAATACAAAGATCGAATACTTAGAAAAAAATCCTTTGATCCGGCCGGATTTGAACCGATGTCATGCTTCTAGCATACCGTACCAGACGCTTTCTTTTATTTTTTTTCCATCCTCTAAGCAGACGCTATACCAGTATCTCTTATTAGTTTGTGATATCAACTAAGCCATGGAACGAACCAGCGGACCTCACGAATTTTTCCATAATAAAATTCGTGAGGTCCGCTGGTTCGTGGTAGTGTGTGACAATTTGACAATTTTAGTCATGCAAATTTTATAGATAAAAAAGTGAAGGTGTTTTAATTATTAATACAAAGATCGAACACTTAGAAAAAAATCCTTTGATCCGGCCGGATTTGAACCGATGTCATGCTTCTAGCATACCGTACCAGACGCTTTCTTTTATTTTTTTTCCATCCTCTAAGCAGACGCTATACCAGTATCTCTTATTAGTTTGTGATATCAACTAAGCCACGGAACGAACCAGCGGACCTCACGAATTTTTCCATAGAAAAATTCGTGAGGTCCGCTGGTGCACAAGTGCATACACTTGTTGTCGTGTTTTTGTATTTGATTTTTTCAACGACTTTTTAGACTTTTTATTTTTTGTATTAATAATTATAACAAACTAGTAGAGTAATTCCCATAAATAATAATAATAATTGAATATCAATTCAACAAAAATTTCAAAAGTGAAGGTGTGTTATATGTGATAACCAAAGATAATAATATACATCATTGGTGTATTTGTATCTTAGAGGATGGAAAAAAATAAAGTCTAAGATTTGTATTCTTACTGTGTGAAAAAAAAAATCTCACGTCCATCCATAAAGGATGGAAAAAAAAAGGAATAACAGGAATAGTCTAAGCGTCCGTCTGTCGCAGAAGGTTTTCCATCCTCTAAGGCCATTGACTTACAAATAGGCAGAAGGGGGAACTGCGTGCTTAGACTATAATAATAATAATTATAAATAAATAAATAAATACGATAATAATAATAATAATAATAATAATAATAGGCGAGAGATTAAAATAAACATAATAATAATAATAATAATAAATTTATTTCCGTCACACACAATTTCAACCATAATTAAACATTCTTAAGTAATAAAACATTTGTTGTCTGTGAAGGCTGGAGCCTAAACTAGGATACCCTGTGCTATAGGTCTCCAGGAAACTATTTTTTTCCATACTCTAAGGTACGGATGTACGGGACATACGGACTCAGCAAAGGCGTCAACTTGCCCTTTGATTTGTTGAAACAGCTAATAAATCGGGACAACTCGCGGGTTACCCAATGGATGCTCTATAACTTTTGTTTTTCTGTTGTTCTGCTGTTTGCGACATGTTTAAAAAAGTGAAGTGAATTGAAAATTATTAAAAAAAATATTTTGTAACGTAATATATTTTTTAAACATGGCTATTGTGGCGAAACCTATTAAACGGGGTGCACGGCAACTCATACTCTTATGTATTTATCTCAGTTTGTCGATGTGGACAACTTTTGCTATGTACTCTCTACAAATTTATAAGTACAGTAAGGATTGCCCACAATACAGTGACCTGATTATTTTATATGATACAGAACTAGATGCAAACATTATTGTAAGTTTCTTTTTATCTCATCCGCTCCAAGAATATCTATATAGCATTCATTATTTTTTGATAATCCACTTTATCCCCATAGGCTTACTGTCGACTAACTTAAGCTGCGCCTCATGCAAAAGCAATTGTATCTTATTATTAATTGTGCGTAATAACTCGTATCTTAATAACCAATCACTACAACCACAGATCGGGACTCTTTAGGCTGATGGTATTCTGATGATATTCTCATGATATTCTCATGATATTCTGCTAATCCGTCACGGCACTCTGTGACTCTTCACCATTGTATGACCCCGCAAAACTTTCTTCATCTTGCATTCTCACAATGCGGTTGTGGGTCTTTGTTCCATTTTGCACATTGGGTTCAGTCACGAGCTGATCTATTTAGACTTTCTTGCAGGTCGTTCGTCTGGTCTGGGAAACGGTCCGAAAATTTTTAGTGTGTTAGTTAGTATACTCTTAGTCACCATGCACTTATTCTGCTCCTCGAATACCAATGTCCGTAGCTTGCAGCCGTACGTGGAAGATTAGTCCCTACTTCTTATAAAGATCTTGGTGTGCTACTGAGAAGCCTCGACATCAACACCTTGCATAGCAATCCTGCACTACTGCAACGAAGGTGCCAAATAAACCAAACAATTTATTATATCCAATTCTTTGCAGCTCCGTGATGAAATTGCCATAGGTTTTCAAAAGCATCGACTTCTAATAAATAAGATGTTAAAAGACAACCCATCTTTATTACCTCATATTATTAACTTTTTGATGAATTCTTACGGAGAACATATCGGGTTTGATTTGATGGAAGAAAGCTCAGCAAAGGACTCTCAGAAACAATATGTTGAAATTAAAGATAAGAACAACACTACATGTTGTCCTTTCGCGAAAAAATCGAAAACACTGAAAATGCTAATGAAGAGGAACAATATTACAGGTTTATCAGGTAATATTAGAATTTTATATAGGTAGTCGAGGATTTTGAGAACTGCGTAAATTAGAAAATCGTGTTTAAACAACATTCTGTAAAACGCATAAATACGACCCGTGAAATATGGAAATTGTCATGACGTAATCATTGTATACAAGACAGACAGTTATTGAAATGGTAGATATTTACTCAGCCACAGTTTACGTTTACGTATGCAATAAAGAAAAAACGTCATCAGTGTTTTTATTAAACTAATTTACGTACTTTCAGAGGACGGATTTGCTTCAGTGATCAACGATAAGTTATTGGTTTCTACGTCAAAACCTATCTTCTCGCATACTAAATACATGGAAAAAATAGTCGATAACGTCACTGCTGTTAATAAATCTGTGATGTTGATGAAAATCGCACATGGTAAAAATACTAACGACAAACCTTAAAATGTAACAGTTTTTGAAATTTTATTGTTTCTTAGATAATTTTACTTTGTTATTAGTTTTAGATTTTCTCACACACTTAATTTATTAGAATATTTTGTAGATTTTTTTTTTAGGTATTAATTCATTCCTGCTCAGGTTTACGTGTCATGAGTCCATACATTTAAACTGCATTGAACAATAAGGCGTCTTTAAATTAGCCGCTTTAAATTAGAAGCGCTGCAATGGCACCACCAAGGCACCAATGTGGTGACACGCGCGCGTCACATTTGCAGTCACAATTAGTAAACTAAAAATTACTTATGCGGTCTAGCGATGCGCGATTGTGAATGATTTTGATATTCGACTCTATTAGTAATTACTAATCCTGTCATTCGATTGGCAAATTAGCAACCTACTAATTTTTGTATTCGGATGATCCTAATGGTCATTCAATACTAATCAGTATTACTAAAACCTAGAATATATAGAGCATTTCTGCCAGGCCCTCTCTGACTTATGGTAAATATCGTGAATGTGACGGGGACAGGGATATTTTCATATGGTCATAACTAGTGGACTTTCGAGTAGTTCCGCGATAATAATCATACGACTCGACTCGAACGATTGTGATTTGCCCCTTCGAATGATTAGTATTAGTAACATTCAATGTCGTGCATCGCTAAGCGCCAAAGACGCGCAACAGCCGTGCCGCGCCACGGTCGCGCCACTGCAGCGCTTCTACAAGCGGTTAATTTAACAATTAATAATGATAATTGATTTGCACATAAATTTAGTTCTTAGGGTACGTAGGTTTCGATCAAACATTATGGTTAGGAGTTAGGCATACTGGACTAAAAATTGTGCTACGTTGTCCACATAATACGGGAACCTTTTTGGATAATTTTATTTACACTTCTATTTTCGAAGATACGCACAGTCAGCGTCAACATTATTTGAAAGGTCAAACTAGCCAAAGATGTCAATACATCTAGTGTGGTCAATCTTTTCTACGAGTTTATATCAGAGTGCTCACAATATGTGTTCATGGAAAAAATTTGCCTTAACAATTTCAACCCAGGTGAATCAATGAAATTAAGCTGTTCCTCAAATTGCAACTGAAAATAATTTAGTAACACCTTCTGTTTATCGAACCTAAAGTTTGGAATAAAAGCCAGGACGATCACAATTTAGCCACGTGAACTAAAACTACGAACTAAAGACTTTATTTTTGGGTTCATAAATTGTTGGTGTGTGCAAGTATTATGCCACTTGGGACAGCACATTAAGTATGCCATATTCAGGTGAATAGCACTGCACATGCAGTTGTCGCAGATGTAACCTCTATTTTACAAAACATACTTGCATACGTGGTGTACGTAATCTGTTAAGTGGCTTTCTAGGACATACACGAAAGCTTATAAACTGCTTCGAGAGTTTTATCGAGCTATATGTATACACATATTAAAAACGCTAAAAATATAACATTACCCCGTGGTACTTATGTAGACATTTTTGGTTAGTTCGATAATTCAGATTATTTTGACGCTGAACATATTGGCGGAATCGTATTTTGCATTTGTACGTTTGTTTATTCTTAATTGCTTTAATAATATTGCTGTTCAATAAATTACATTAAAAAAATTATGATTTTTATTATTTTGGCACTCTTGTACTCGTATTTAGTGTGGAGGAGAATTGTGCTTCAGTAACCTATTTCGACTACACGGTATGGAGATTACATATGGCCAAAGCGGTCGAATCTAACTTTTGTCGCCAATCTTTGCCACCGCTGCTGGGATGGCTCGCTGGTTTATACTGCGGAACAGAAGGCGATTCTTTTTGCCTCACTCTTTGCAGAGAGTTCGCGTCTGGATGCTGCAGGGAACCTGCCACCTACCTTACCCCAGGCTGGCTTCACTATGGCGCCAGTTCGCATATGCCAAAAAGAGGTACTTAGAACTCTGCGGACTCTAGACGTGAATACAGTGCCACTCCAAGCTTTAAAATGAAAAGATCTAAGATCTGAGAGGCACTGCCACCGCGCCCATCGTCCGGTGTCATAAATTGACTACTCCTATGTGCATGTAATTTCACCAGTACTCTTACACGTATTTTCCAAAAGCGGCTAGTCGCGGGCGCCTGTCTGCGCGTGATTACCATTTATTCAAATAAGTCATATTCCATCCCAATCGACGCGGCCGCGACTCTGAAGTGAAATTAGCCGTTATAGCTGCGATCGCTCGGGGTTAGTAGTCGCGTTGTGGAAAATGCCTTCCCTTCAAAACCGGAACACAGTAATGTTCACATTGCTGCTTCATAGCAGAAATGAGTTTGCTATACTGTTACTATATAAATGGGAAAAATATAGCTAATATAGCGTAAATAGGTACTTAACAATTAAGAAATACCGACTACAAAGGGATGACGCATCTAACCCACTATGCTTTCCTCTAAATTGTGGCTGAAAACTATAAAAAATGTTGCCGCCAACTGCTAGTAATAGAAAATATTAGGGGTTAAAGTATGAAATTGCCGTTTTATTGCAATAGG